ATAGTAGCCAGACTGGAGCTCTGTCTTGTGAGAAAATGTTTGACAGCCAAAGATCTAAACGTTAAGCAACTATAAAAGTTTTGCTAATGTATCAAGCAATGCTCTTGCTACAAATAGCTGAGTTTATTTTATTTTATTTATTTTTTTATTTGTCAATTGCTTACAAGATAATGGGTATAAGTAAAACATAGTTATGAATACATGGATACATATAAGAAAAATAATATATATATAAAAGAAACAATAGGACAGGGATGGTAGGCACATTGGTGCACTTATGCATGCCCCCTACAGACTTCTTAGAAAAGGGGTGAGGTTAATAGTAGACAGTCTAAGGTTAAAGTTTCTGGGGTTTGGGGGAAAAAACCACAGTCAGGTAGAGTATTCCAGACATTGACCACTCTGTTGCTGAAGTTGTATTTCCTGGATTAACCTTGAGTTTGTATCTACTGTTTGCTCTTGTGTTGTTATGGTTGAAGCTGAAGTATTCATTGACTGGTAGGACATTGCAATGTATAATTTTATATGCTATACTTAGATTGGACTGAAGGCGACGTAGTTCTAGGTTTTCTAGGTCTAGAATTTCAAGTCTGGTGACAAGGTATTCTGCAATGAGTAGAGGAGTGGAAAACTCTTCTTGTGAAACATTTCTGGACTTTCTCAACTGTGTTAATATCAGATACGTAATGTGGGTTCCAGACTGATGAGCTGTATTCGAGTATTGGTCTAGCAAATGTTTTGTATGCTCTAGTTATTAGTGTAATATTACCAGAGAAAAAGCTATATAAGATTAGGTTAACAACTCTTAACACCTTTTTTGGCTATGTAGTTATAGTGGGCTCTAGCACTTAGGTCATTTGAGATGAGTATTCCAAGATCCTTGACAGAGTTTGGATCGTCAACAAGATCTTGACTATTCAGCCTGCATTTTATTTTCTGATTTTTTTTTTGCCAATATGTAGCATTTATTTATTGAGATTTGAAATTGCCATTTGTTTGACCATTCTGATACATAGTCGAGGTCTTTTTGAAGGGTAGCAGTATTGTCTGCGGTGTTGAATAGCTTTACATCATCAGCGAAGAGAACACAGTTGCTCTTGATATGATCATAGAGGTCATTTATGTAGAGTATGAAAAGAATTGGTCCTAGAACACTGCCTTGGGGGACATCACTGTTGACAGGTACAGAATTTGATAGGACGCTTCCAATTTTGACCATTTGTTGTCTGTTTGACAGGAATGCTTCTATCCAGTTATGCAGGTGTCCAGAGATACCGTAAGATTTTAGTTTTAGAAGTAGTTTGTCGTGTACCACTGAATCAGAGGCTTTACAGAAATCTATGTAGATTGCGTCTATTGCTTTGCCCTGATCGAGTTGTGTAATCCATAAGTTTTTGCAGTGTAGGAGTTGCAGATTATATGATAGTTTTTTCCTGAAACCAAATTGTTTATTAGAGAATAGGTTGTATCTTTCTAAGTGGAGGATGATGGATTGGTTAATAATTGATTCCATGACTTTACAGGTGACGCAGCATAAAGAGATTGGTCTGTAATTTTCAACTAGGCTGGGGTTTCCCTTTTTGAAGATGGGGATGACCGTGGCTTGTGACCATAGTTTTGGCAAGGAGCTGGTCCTGAAAGATTTTTCAAAGATTATGCTCAGAGGTTCGGCTATGGCAGTGGATAGCTTTTTTAAGAAGTAGGCACATATTCCCTCCGGTCCAATAAATAGAGATGGTTTTAGATTGCATAGTGCTTTTTCAACATTGTCTTCAGTAAAATTGATATGTATTAGATCATTGTAATTGTCTGTGGTTCAACTAGGAAATACTGGGCATGATTAATATGATTAATAGGGTATTTCTTAGCAATATGTTGATTTAGCAATTCTGGTGCCAATTTTTTTTTGGGGGGGAGTGCATGTGTGTGTTCTGTGTATACATGTTCGCAAAAGCGCAATGTCTTTATTATAAGACACATGGAGATATTTGAGATAATACATTTATGAATAAATTAAACTCTAGGATATCTTATTATTAAACATGTGGTTTTATTTTTGGCCATCAATATTTAGTATTCTCTTGGTCACATCTTTAGTATAGCCTTTTAAAGTAATATATGGCCTAGTATAGACCAAGTATCTTCTTACTAGTCAGTGTAACGTTAATACATGATATGCATTAATATTATTTTTATATCAATAATGTATTTATATCTACTGTGTACATCTCAAAGTTTGCAATATGTGGCTGTCTTGCCAGTGCATATAAACTAAATAGGATTGGACCTGGTTAGTACTTGGATAAAATACTTCCAGGGAAACCCAGGACTATAGTACAGACTGGGAAGTTGAAAAACATCCCAGAAGAAGACAGTGGCAAACAACTTCTGGCTATTGCCAAGAAACTGCATGGATGTGTCTATGAAGTCAGAAAAGTAAAATATACTAAAGTCGAGTAGGTAGGATTGAGCCTGCCCTATCAGAGTTGTCTTGTTGTAACATGGTGTTCTGGTCTAGGTAGCACAATGTAAAGTTTATTCAAGATGATGATGATGCCTTCACCGTCAATGGGCAGAAATTTGATCAGTTTGGCTTTTTAAATTACACTGTGATGATCTTTCAATCAAATAGAAGTTGGAAAGCTCCCAATGTTTTATGCCTCACAGAAGACACACAGAAGCAGCGTAGCTCTTCTAATCCCTCCCAATGCTCTTGAGAATAAAATAGTACAACACAAGAAAGACTGTGAATTAAGACTAAGTAATCAATATGGACAGGCAAAAAGATCAAAGAAGTTTTGCAGGTCTTACTTAGATTTATCCTGCAAGCAACCCAGTATCTCATATATTTTCTCAAAGTATAGAAGAGTATTCATTTTGATGATTTCCCATCAGCAATCCTTGAAGGCATATCTTGGAAGATTTCCTCATAAGGAAAGATCCTGTCCATGTGGATATGGGACATAGAAACTCTTGCCTGTGTTCTTTTGTGCTGTTATCTCTCGTAGTAAGTTTATTGTATTTTCGTTACAAATGAAAATACAGCTTTGCTAGCCCACTTGATGCAAAAAACTCCGAAATGTCCCATATTAGTAATCATGTAAAATATCTATTTGAAAAATTACTTGGCAAATACCAACATTCTACCTAATGTTCAGCATACCTAATAGTATGCTGAATATGGAGTTCTCTTAAAGTGCACCAAACTTAATGGGATAAATATTTTAGGATTTTTATTATATTACAGATCTTATGGAAGTTGATTAGCATTGTGATAATAACATTTAGATTGTGGCACTGACTTGTTATCTTAATAAAGAATTTGATATCTGTTTTGGTAAAATTTAGGCCTAAATATTCTAGTAGTGCTTTAAACATTAATATTATGGTATGTTAAAATACAGATGTGTTAAAATATTATAGTACTTTTTGAAGCATTTTATGGGATACAGTATTTTTTCAAAAGCATTTTATCGATATGGTATTTTATCCAATTAGTTTACATGATTTGGGGTTCCTAAGATCACATAAATATTTTAGCTCCTATTCTTTATGAGTCACCCTTTTTTCATAGTATGTTGTTTCTTAACATGTTTTTATCAATTTTTACCTGCCTAGAGTCATGTATTTGATATGTGTGGCTATATCACTGAATAAATGAATAACGGTATTTATCTTTATCTACAGTCATTTTAGGAAAACTTTTTTTCTATTCTCACTTGGAGTTTATAATTTTACGATTTTACATGTAAAACTGGATGTTGTATTGGGCAATGTTTGCAATAAGACTGCCATTAAGTTTATGATATACATAGATATTCTTTTTGAATTTAAGAATGGTGCTTAAAAAGAAACCACTTTTTAAGGATTTGGAATTAACACTAGTATTGGTGGTTATATCCAGTGCCCACAGAACTTTATCTACAACAGTCACATTAAAGCCTACTATCTCACAGCGGAGAAAGCTATACGGGGATATCAGGAAATAAAAAATGAATAACGAATTCAGCAGAAGTTACTTGAGCATATAAAAAAGGATTATACTATTCAAGTTTTTATTAAGTAACCCTGTTTGAAAGAGTGGTAGCAATACTGTGATAGAGTATTTGTATTTATACACCGTTTTTAAAAGTCCATATAGGAAACAAGGAACAAGCTTCTAAAAAACACAATAAGATTAGAAGGCATTTTTAAAGTGTGATTTTCTATTCCATACACAAAAGAAGAAGCAATGAGATATTTTGTCTTGGCTGGTATGAAAAATATATGTAAGCTTATAAAGTTAACAGTAATTTTATGGGAGAAAGGTTTTGCATGGTTTCAAGCTGTCCGCTGCATGCCTTAATTTAGCATTTCCCAATCTTTATCTAAATGAATTTACTGCTCCTGGATAGATAGATGGATGGATGGATAGATAGATTGATTTATCAATTGATTTAGACTACAACTAAATCAATTAATTCCCAGTGCTCATGCTGCCTTGAGGGCCTGGAAGTTGTGCTCAAAATCCTGTGCAAGTGGAATATTCTTGCCTAATAGTTGCAATCTGATAGGAGATTGGAGCCTATCCAATCCTATCCGAGGAGCATCTGTGGTGCAGTGGTTAGAATGCAGTGCTGCAAGCTACTTCTGCAACCAGCTGCCTACAATTTGGCAGTTCAAATCCCACCAGGCTCAAGGTTGACTCAGCCTTCCATCCTTCCGAGGTGGGTAAAATGAGGACCCAAATTGTTGGGGACAATATGCTGACTCTGTAAACCGCTTAGAGAGGGCTGTAAAGCACTATAAAGCGGTATATAAGTCTAAGTGCTAGTGCTAATTGTATAGTAATTTTCTATATCACAGACGGACCACTGAAAATATCTTTTCTACAACTACTGTGCAACAAAATAAAGTCTTCTTAACTATTTGAGTCAGTTAGTGTCTATTTTAATTTGTAAATGATGCAAAACTGAGCTTGGATTTGCTCTGATGCTGTTGAATTCTGCTTCTTTTGGCAGGCAAAACGAAGATTGGAACTAGAAGAACCTGGACAGCAATTTCTACCTGAAGGATTGAGAACGCCAAAGGGGAAGGGCAGAGCTGCAACAAGAAGTCCAGAGAGTCCAAAAAGTAAGAAAATCTGTGCATAGCTATAAGAAGTGCATTCAATCTCTTACATGTTCTTCCTGGGTAAATTGTGGATGAAAAGTAGTTAATTATGCTTGCAGAGGCTGGACCAAAACCCTAACACACACTGAGGTTTTAGCCATGAAAATTAACCAAGTTAATTACAGGTAATCCTTGATTTACAGCCATTTGTTTAATGATCATTCAAAATTACAGTGGTATTGAAAAAAATAGTTACAACTCTTTTTCACACTTAACAACCATTGCAGCATCCCCATGGCCACATGACGAAAATTCTGATGCTAGGCAACTGTCTCATATTTATGACAGTTGCTGTGTCCCAGGGTCACGTGGTCATCTTTTGCTGCCTTCTGACAAGCAAAGTCAATGGGGAAACCAGAGTCACTTAACAACCGTGTGACTAACATAACAACTGCAGTGATTCACTTAAGAACTGTGGCAAGAAATTTCACGGAATGGAGCAAAATTCACTTAACAACTGTCTTGCTTAGCAATAGAAATTTTGGACTCGATTGTGGTCATAAGTCGAGGACTACCTTTCTACCGCTGAAGTGAAACTGTCTAGGAGTGTTCTTTAATACAACTCATATGGTGCCTTAGAATTTTTTTTTAAACAAAATGTTATGCCATGTTTTCAAAATTGGCATTAAATGCTTTTTATTTCCAGCTCCCAAATCTCCTTCAGAAAAGACACGGTATGATACATCACTTGGCCTTCTCACAAAGAAGTTTATTCAATTATTAAGCCAGTCTCCTGATGGTGTGGTAGATCTGAACAAAGCAGCCGAGGTCCTTAAGGTACAGAAAAGGAGGATTTATGATATTACAAATGTTCTGGAAGGCATTCATCTCATTAAGAAAAAATCCAAGAACAACATTCAGTGGATGTACGTATCACATTTCTGTATTTGTCTTGCATTCTAGAAAAAGTTATCTGATGCTAGTTTTCAGTTTTTTAATTACGATGGTAAAACGACATTTAGCTTACTTTTGAATTAAGAAGGAAGTTGTTTTCAAGAAGGAAGAGATAAAACTAAACTTAGCAGTCATTTTGTGCAGGGTATTCCAACATGCGGGATGGGAAAGGTGACAGTTTCCACAGATACACATAATTTGAGAACCACAATCTATTACACTTAACAAAATATTTTATTCAGGAGAAAGGTCCACTACCTGTAAAACATTTAAAACATATTGGCTGACCATGCATAGCAGACTTTGTTCTGTGCTTCCCAGGGCGCTAGACTAAGGAAATTAATAATGTGTCTGAAATGTTTCATGTATATGTTGATGGTTTATTCAAAGTTGTAGAAATCTAAGGCAGAAGAGCCTTTTCTGTATGTGTTGTTACACATTATAGTTTATGGCACTAAACTCTTCTGTGATTAAGAATGGGATATAGAAAGAAACCTCTTCATGCATATAGACTATTACATATTTTTCTGCTATCTCCCCCCCCCCACCTTTTCTTTGGCCCTTTAGATGTTTATCAACATCCAACAGCAATTTAACATTATTCCCATAAGGCTGTTCCTTTGCTGAATACATTGTATGTAACACAAAGTTTACTTCATAGTTCCTGCTCTTAATACATGGGCTGGGCTTGGATATCCTACTGAGCCATAGTGTGGCTCTTTGTTTATAACCTGTTTATACGTGTGAACTATATTATTAGATATTTAATCCCACCTTTTCTATATATAACTCAAGATAGTGAATATATTGTGCCTAATACTGTTACCTTCTATTTTCCCCTCAACAACAACCTTTTGAGGAGAGTTAGGCCGAGAGAGTGTATCTGCTCCAAAGTCACCCAATCAGCTTCCATAACTAAAGAAAACCTAGAATCTGCAGTCTCCTGGTTTCTTCACCAGCATCTAAACCACTGGACCAGACTGGCTTTCATACTAGCTTCTTGCTTTGTTAATCGTGGTTAATGGCTTTAGATGATTTAAGTACTGTACTCCCCCATTTTGTCTTCTTCAACAAATCATGGTCAAGCAAGGCTTGATTGGGTACAATTTATGAATCCAGCCATTGTATTATTTATTTATTTTTATTTTCTTCCTTTATCATTTTTATAAATAACTCAAGGAGACAAAGATACCTAATACTTTTCCTTCTCCTATTTCCCCACAACAACCTTGTGAGATGTGTTGAGCTCAGAGAGAGTGATTGGCCCAAATTCACAGAGCTGGCTTTCATTGCCTTAGTTTGGCTTAGAACTCACAGTATTTCTATACTGGTGCCTTAACCACTAGATCAAGCCAGCTGTAACTCTTTATACATGTTTGTATATATTGATTAAATTTATATGCCACCCATCTCGCTATCGAGCAACTTTTCGGCAGCTTACAATGACATAAAATAACAATATTAAAAAATTAGAAAGTTAAAATATCAAAACATTGGGCATTAAAAGTTAAACTTAACAAACTGGATAACAATGAAAAATACGTAAATAGGGAGGAGTTGGGATCTTCTACCATAGTCACCTCCAGAATGAGATGCTCCCATCGGGCTCAAGACAAGTGAGATTTTTGGACCCTTTTGAAAGACCAATAGGATGGAGGGCAGATTTCATCCCGAGGAGCCTGATGCTCCAGAGGGCGGGATCCATGGCAGAAAAGCCTCTTCTTTCCTGCAGCTACAACTTCTTGGCCTAAGAAATCCAGAGCTTGCCTCTTCTGTCAGATGAAGTGGGATAGGCCCATCAATCTCATTGGGATGAGATGGTTCCTCAGATAAATTGGGCTCATGCCTTAAAGGCTATAAAGATAATAAATTTTATATTGATAAAATATTGTATTTAATTATATCCTTCTTAGCAGTAAAGGTACACATTATTGGCCTTTTATTTCATTTTAAAAGAATGCTGTGCAACTCCAAATGTTCCTCTTCTGCTCTTCATATTAATAAATTACCAGTAGTTCTTCCAAGATAAAAAAAACAGCTGGATTAAGGAATGAGACACACCTTTCCTCAGATTAGAACTCTGCTATGTGTTCCACGAACTGTCTGCTCATTTGTTTTGAAGGGGCTGCAGTCTCTCTGATTTCGGGGGCATGTTGGCACACTGTCAAGGCTTGTCAAAAGAGGTAGCAGAACTCAGCCAGGAAGAAAAGAAGCTGGATGAGTTAATCCAAAGCTGCTCTCATGACCTCAAACTGCTAAAGGATTCTGAAGATCGGAGATATCCTTTTATAGTGAATGAAGATACGCTCTTTTAGTAAATATACTTCGTGCTCTTAATTTGTTGTTGTTGGTTAAGGACAGTGTTTTTCAACCTTACAATTCTAAAACGTGTGTACTTCAACTTCCAGAATTCCTCAACCTTTGTGCTTTCTTAATATTATCTAAATTAAAAAACCCTGGCCTAGGCTATAGGGCTGGTATTTGGCATATTTCATAAGATAGTGATCTATAGCCCACATGTCCTTGGCTATTTTAATATTGCAAAATATCAGCAGAAATGCCTTTCAAAAGACTATCAACAGAGTCTGTTGCTTAGTTTGAGTCCAAGAGTCTTTTCAAGCTATCCCAAATCCAGGAACCATTCCTGCATTTTTGTGGTTGAGCCTGGCAGTGACATTCCAGATTGTAATTTGTTCGCTCTTCACTATAATTTCTACATAGACAGCCATGATTTTTTTAAAAAAAAAACTTCCCCAAGTTAATGAAGGTAGGGGAGAGAATATAAAAACACCTGCTAAAATATCTACTTTAGTTTTCTAGTTCTCAACAGCTGCTCAACAATTCTTTAACACTGATTACATTAGCGTATGTTAGGTATGAAGATATTCAAGAAATTAGGAGCCTTAAAGACCAAACTGTCATACTTGTCAAAGCTCCTCCAGAAACAAAACTTGAAATGCTTGACCCAGAAAAGGTAAAAACTTATTTTATTACATAGCACAGTCGTTTTTTCTTTTCTACATTTTAAAACTAATGTTTATTTGTAGGAGTGATTTAATGAAATAAGTTTTTATGGGTGACAAAAACTTTCAAAACTTCTATGTAACTTGGTTTACAATTATTTTTTGTTATATTTTTTGCTTATTGACTGATTGATTTTTCTTTATTTTTATCTGCCTTCCTTTTTGTTCAAGTCAAGGCAGCATACACAACTAATGCTGCTCTCCCCTACTTTCCCCACAATAACAGCCCAGTGAGGTGGGTTGGGCTGAGAGAACGATTGACCTACCAAAATCAGCTACCCAATTAGCTTTTTATGCCTAAATGAAAGATGGAACTCATAATAAAGTTTCTAGCTACTTGAACACCATTTCTGGGGATTGCATGGAGGCCTCCATGGTGCTTTCTTGGCAGGAATATAAAAGTAGCCTTGCAGTTTTTTTCTTCTGGAATGACTGTTCAGTTTTGCTTTTTCAGAAGTTATGCACTAAAAAGGTAAATCGGCCAAAGTTTCCTGGATACTGTCAACCTATGGGAATTTCTTCTCATATTAGGCTCTGTTTTATACATTCCATTCCCCGAGAATGCTGATCTACAACCATCCCATTGTATTATTTTCAAATAGCTGGGATTGGTCTTCTTTCTATAGCTAGTATTAGGCTTCTTTATATCTCGACTTAGCTTCTTGTTATGCCTACTGACTCTGCATCATGTTCTTTCCTTTCTCCTTAACCATCTTTTGAAGGGGGCAGGGGTGCTGAGAGATGATACACAGCCCAAGGTTACTGGCAAAGCTTTCTGGCTGAGGCGGATTTTAAGCTGGATCTCTCTAGTCCAAGACCAGCTCTGTAACATCTATGCCACATGTGATCCATGTTAAACAGCTATGCCTTTCATTGCTTGTAGCACCACTGCCATTTGACTTTTTCTTTGGCAGTCTCTGCTGCTCATTTCTCTCTCTCTCTCTCTCCCTCCCTCCTTCTTTCTTGCTATCTCTCTCTCTCTCTCTCTCTCTCTTTCTTTCTGCCTTCCCGCAACATGAGGTAGATTATAAATTCTCTGAGATGGAACCATTGTATATAGAAGTCAGATGCACACTGTGCTGCTAGATACAGCAAGAACATTCCTTCTCAGTTCCACATTCCTGAGCAAACATGAGAAGGTTAGAAAAGTAGTTTTATAAGGAAACCACACATTCAAAGAAGTGCTGCGTCCAGCAGCACGTTGGAAACCTATTTTATACCTGCATGTCCACCCAAACATTTAAATTCTGCATCTTCTGCCTTTTTGAAGAAATTGGTTTTTCTTCTCTCAGCCTTGAAGCTTTCCATCATCAGTTCTATTCACTAAGTGGCTGCCTCTGACATGAGAATCTGGGCCCGCACTTTACCATTTTGAGTCTTCATGCTGTATTCAGGGCATCTTCTCTGTCAGCATAGCTAAGTCATCCAAGCTTAGTATTAGTTGTGCTGTGCAAATCTTTAAGGGAAGCATCTCCCTTATTTCACAAAGCAATGTGGTCCCCTCACTTCTAAGAATAAAGCAGCCATGCTGTTTTCTTTAACTCTTGTATTATTCGGATGTGCTTATATGCACATGGAACCCACGCACAGAAATCTTTTCCAGCAACTACAAGAGTTGTAAGAGAATGTAAGGCCTTACATCAGGGGTGTCCAACTCACGTCATCACGGCAGCATCACGTAACATATCAGGACTTTTTCCCCTTCGCTAAACTGGGCGGGGGCGGGGCCAGCATGTGAGGCATCCAGCCCACGGGCTGTGAGTTTGACATCCTTGCCTTATATTGATCGGTTTAGAAATGGAGAAAGTTTCATATATTTTTACTCACCGGATTGTCCTCCCTTATTAGTTAAGAGAAGGGCTTTCTCAGCAGTTTGTACAAGTACTATAAGTAAGAGGCTGACAAAATCTCTACCTTGGGAAACTCCAATTTAGATACATTGCATTGAAGGTGGGGTAGGGGCAATAAGTAATTTGAATTCCTATAATGTATGGTACCTTTTTCAATAAATCTCGGAAAACAAACCCTGGAAGCAACTTACTTTCTATGAAGGTGGTTTGGTCAAGAACATGACAGAGAACATGACAAGACCTTGTTTTAAGGAAGACAGGGTTATCTCATTAGCCCAACCAGGCACATGAATGTAACCTTGTCCCATCCTGTTGATTTAAAATTGGATTTTGGCCAGCGTCTTTTTGTTCCATTGCTTAGGGGTAAGCTTCAAGGAACAACTGATAAGTTGAGCCATCAGAAAACCAAAATAGTCTGGTCAGAAAATAAGCTCCAAGCAAAATCACTTCTCTGTCCCTTAACCGTATGATGATGAAAGGCTTAGAACATAATCTTGCAAAATTACATTGATTAGAAAGGGCAGAATTTATATCTTCTGCTAGGCCGATTATTATCATTTTGCAAACTTTCAGCCTGCATTGGGCTCTTTTTTTTTTTTTTGCAGATCAGCACATTAAGAATGAAAAATGTTCCAGTAGTTATTTGTACTACTGGCAAAAGGGATGCAGAAAACTGAAATTCTTTCTTGTTGCAGAATAAGCTGATACACTTATGTAGTACTCAAGGACCTATTGAAGTATACTTGTGTCCAGAAGAAACCGACTACTCCACTCGTATAAAAACTCAGGATCAGGATCACAATGGAAATATCTCAAGAAACATTTCCAAAGGTAATCTGAACACTGGCGATAACCAAATATATGCAGAGCTTAAAATCAACGTATAATCTGTTGTATAATATTTTAAGTGCTAAACTTTAAAGTAAACTAAAGAACTTTAGTTCTTGAGTACAGATTATTGTGTTTTACTATTTTACTTGTGTTTATAGCGATGTGTACATTCCTAATTTGCAACAATACCAGTGTTACTCCCACTCTGGCATGCATTGTCAGACACACAACATTTGGTCATAAATGCGTGCATTGCTTGGAAAATGATTTTTGGGTGATCATATTTGCAAACGATCAATAACTGCATAATCACTAAATAAGGAGTGAGTGAATTAATAATTTAATTTTGGCAATACCTAAACATTAATGTAAGCCATGGAATGTATAAGTTAAATTGTCACATTAAAAAATAGTTTCTATTTTCTCACAGGAGGCAGAATTTATCCATATCGAATACGTTTCCCTTAAAGCATCCACTCAGTTGGAAAGTCACTACTCTCTGGCCAAAGCAGAAGAGCTTATCTGCGGGAGGGCAGAAAGGAGGTGGAAGCATCTAGCACTTTCACAGGCAGCCTAAGAGCTACCTTTGGGCAACTGAAGGAAAAGGAGCAGGGTTTTGGCACTCTCTGCACTTCTAGCAATGCATTGCAGGCACTGCTTCTTCAAAAGCCAAGCTTGACATTGCTTTTCCTGAAACCTTTGTTCCCCAGATGGATATGCTATGTAAATGACAGTGGGCAGATATGTGAGTGAGGGTAAAAGGCCTAAAGCCTCCTTTCCATGAGATTCTGCTAGAACTTACTGAATGTTTTCCATTTTATATGAATTATGCAGAAGGTTTCCTTGCGGGAAATTAATTGTATGTTTTGAGGGTATCTCAAAGAGTCGTAGTGGTGCAGTGGTTAGAATGCAGTATTGCAGGCTAATTCTGCCAGCAGTTCGATTCTCACCAGCTCAGGGTTGATTCAGACTTCCATCCTTCCAAGGTTGGTAAAATGAGGACTCAGATTGTTGGGGGCAAAATGCTCACTCTGTAAACCGCTTAGAGAGGGCTGTGAAGCTCTGTAAAGCAATATATAAGTCTAAGTGCTTATTGCTATCTAGTAGCCAGTATGTCTTCATTTCTCTCAATATACCCTCAAATACTCTGATTTCCCCCAAAGGGGGAAGGCAGACTAAATTTGGTGATTTATTTTGTGTTGACAGAGCACACACTAATAGTTTCTTTCTCATTCAGTTAGCCTCTTTCTAGTTTTTCTCTTTTAACCTGAAATCAAGGAGGAGGACGGCTGGAAGATTGAAATTTCATGATTAATATTTATCCTGATGTTTTATAAATACTTATACATTCTAAATAGAAGTTTAATAAAGTAAAATCAGTATGGTTCCTATTTCAGTGAATATTTTCTCTCAGGTTTCAGAAATTGGATGTCTCATTTGGTGATTAAGAAAGTTGTGTATAGCATTTCTGATAAAGAATATTTTTCCTTGTATATGTGGCACATATATATTGTGTGCGCTTTAATATAGAAAGCAACATGGGATGTTTGAATTTCAGTTTGGTTTATAGTTTATACCCATAAAATATGCATATTGGTTAGGGTTGTCAGATAAAGGTCCAGATTCCAAGTGGATGCTAGAGAAGTACAATTTATCTTTTTCCTGCCATCTGGTGATTGTTCTGCGTTTTTGAAGTCCATGTATGGTAGTTCATGGCTAAAGAGTGAAAGAGCCACAGTGTCTTGCTTAAGCAGGTCTATACAGAACCAAAGAGATGATTCCAGAGAATCTCCCTTTGTAATTAGCATTGTCACTGAATTGTGTAAATCCTACTTATGTCACAAAACTACCAGTCCTCCTGAGGCTGGGAGCTGTTGGGCTGCTGTCTCATTCCATAGAAGCAAAGTTAACTTTTACAATAAGCTGGGTGGAAGGCAAAGCATTTATATGTAGCATGGTTGTGAAAGGTTTCTGTATCCAAGTTTTGATATTTTGTTCTCTTACTTATACAGATCTGAACTCTGATAACTCAGGAGGTCCTGACTGTTCAGAAAATGCCACGGCCATCTCCCCATTAGTTTCTACCACTAACCTTTTGCAACAGACAGAGGACCAAATTACTTCAAGTCTTGATGGCCCATTTGTAAACTTGCTGCCACCTTTACTTCATGAAGACTATCTGCTTGGGCTTGGTGAAGAAGAAGGGATTAGTGACCTCTTTGATGCTTATGACTTTGAAAAAGTACCTGCCTTGATGGATGGATTTTTATGCAGCTGATTTTTGTTTCTATTTTCCTTTTAAAAATGAAACCAGAATACCTGCTGACATTCCACACTATCTCTCCTCTTATCTCCTAACCCTTATTCCATTTCAAAGATTAGAAATTATAGTATTTCATATTTATATGGAAATACTTCATAAAATGTACACAGAATGGCAGACTTTCTTATCAGTTACCTAAACCTCAAATTCAGGCAGCTACTGATTTAGTAATTATAAAACAGTGCACAGAGAATTGGAGGAAATGGCTACGCCTATTTTATTCTGGTATACTGTGTCTATAAGTTTCATAAAGGGCTAAAGAACTGTTTTAGCCAAAAATAGCATTTTTTTTCCTTACGATTTCAAGCTGTGCCTTCTGTAAAACATGTCTGTTCAACTTTTTCATTCAAAGAGTAACTGCAGAGAAGTATGCTTGAGATACACAAACAAAAATGTGAAATAGACTTCTTCCAAAGTTATCTAGAAATATTTAAATTCTTATCTGTGCTCCATTTTTGAGCATTCACTTATCACTGAGGATATTAATAAGTCTCAAATAATTGTTAATATGAATAGGTTTTAAAGATATTGCTGTCCAAGGTGAAAGAGAAGGGGTGACCCCAGTCAACGCAGTATATCTGGGTAGCCTCTAAGTAACCTGTTAAAAAAATGAAAAGTTGTGCATATCAGCTGCTTTAGAGAGAGTAGGCAGGGTGGATTGATTCTAGCTTCTATCACTGTCTGTAGAATAGTCCAGTGGATTTTACCTTCTTTCCAAAGAGCTAGTTTTATACAGCCCATCTTCGTATTTGGCTGGTGAACTGCACGCAGTATCAGTTTCTGCATGTAGTCGTCAACCCGTTTCACCTTCAGATTACTGAAGGTGATTATTTTCCCCACTGGAAAGAAATTTTGTAATGAGGAAGTCCCTTGCTATAATATAAAGCAAAGATGCACAGTTCAATTTCACTGTCTGCAAAGTGCAACAGGACTGGCACGTGAAGTTTGTGGTACGAAGTGGGGCTCTGTGTTAAGTGCCTACCAGAATTGCACTGTGGGCTTTATTTTTTAATTTTTTTTGCTGAGAAATACTATTTAAGCCAAGCTTCACTTTTTCAGTACTCTGTGTTTATTTGAGAAGGTTAGTTGCTTTCACTTCCCATTTTGGAAGTTGCTACAAAGCTGACATTTCACCCAAAGTGTAAATAATATACTTGTCAAGATTGTCTTCGCTGAATTTTAATTGATATCTCTTTGCTGACATAATGTGCTTTCTGAAAATGGATAGAATTCATACATGTAAACATAGTTGTATGAAATGTCACTTTGGTTAATTAGTTGAATAGTTTAAGCAGTATACATTAATTTTTCTACATGATGTTTAAAACATTTCTAAAATGTTCGTTTTAAATAATATATGTGCAGGTTTTCTGGTACCATTGAAATGCTGCTACAGACACTCACAAATGAAATGGCTGAGTAATAGTATGAAAGTTGTACGATTGAGCCTTGGAAAATAATTGTGTAAAAAAAGGCAACACATTGAGAACTGTTAAACAGTATTAAATGTGTTTTATATGTATACAAACATGTGCATAGTTAATTGGTTATTTAAGTTGTATGTTCTTAAACTATAGTCATATAACTGTTTTGTACAATAGGAATGAATTTGTAAAGCCTGCAGAGTATTTTATAGTTAGCTTGTTATTTCTTTTAAAAAAAAAACCATAAAACCTTAAATCTGTAAATAAAAAATGTAGTATTTAAGTATGTCATATGAAGAAACAGGAGTTTGTGTACGCATGAATACTTTTATTATATGAAGAGGATCTCTGGGTAGAATAAAATGAAAGGGAAGAAAATAAAATGCCATTTTGTACAATTACATACTTTCCCCAGTGTATCAGCAAAATACTAACCTTAATATACTTTGATTAGTATGTTAGTTCCAAAATGTGTAAAATAATGTAAAAAAAAACAAAAATAAATTTTCATTTGTAAAGGCAACCTGTTCTATAGCTGGGACCTTGCCTTATTAAATGTAACTGACTTTTTAAATGGTAATCAATAAAGCTTTATATCAGTACATACTGTATTAGTTTTTTTCTTAAGGTTTTTTTTTTTCATCTGCTTCAAATTATTTCAAATGCATGTTACCCTCAAAGTGATAAGCAACATATCCTAGTGATATAGAAGTTGACCACCCATTCCAGCTGGTGTTGGCAACAATAAGACTTGCTCTTCTGTACCTTTGGCCATTCGCTAAATAAACAAATAATAAATTCTGTAACTTTTATTACTGCCTACATTCATACAACACAAATTAGTGAATCATGTAGCTAGCTCAAAACTCAGTCTATTCAATTGCAGGTAGTCCTTGACATAACCATTCATTTAATGACCATTTGAAGATACAGTGGCAATGAAAAAAGTGACCAATGACTGGTCCTCGAACTTACAACAGTTGTGAAATCCCCACCAGCCACATGATTAAGAAATCCAGGCATTTGCGAACTGGTATATATTAATGACAACTGCAATGTCCCAGTGCCATGGGATCACGATTTGCAACGTTCTCAACCAGCTTCCAACAAACAAGCCAATGGGGTAGCTGAATATGCTTAAAGATTGTGTGATACACTTCACAACTGCAATGATTACTTAACTGTGACCAAAAGCAGACAGTAAAATTGGGTAAGACTCAGTTGACATAGCAAGAGTAATTCTGCTTAGCAACAGTGATTCTGGTCCCCATTGTGGTCCTAAGTCGGGGATTCCCTGCAGTTTAAAGCTGACTGAGTTATGAAAATCCCAAATTGAATTAAATATTCTCACTGATTGGGAAACAAGATCTATTTCTGTTTTTAGTGTGCTGCTACAATGGTGGACTGCTGACTTGTATTTGGCTTGTGATCAGCAACCATTCCAATATTCTTTTCACGTCTGCTATGACCCAGTTTGACGGTCACTAGTGTAGATAATTGCATTTAGTTTCCTTTTTGTAAGTGAAGAACCTTGAACTTGCCTCCACGTGGACTTGGAAACCCAAGATTATTAGCCCTTCTAGCGAAAACTGCAGCATGCTGTAGTTCAGCAACTTCCTAAGGTCCACAGGTTACCTTCCCTTTGTCTCTGTTTAATTTCCATTGCTTTCAGTTTGCTTTAGCCTATCAAGATCTTTTTGAATCATGCTGAGCATTGATTCTACCATAGCTCTGCATCATCCATGGATCTGATAAGCACAGGTAGTCCTCGACTTACAACAGTTTGTTCAGTGACTATTTGAAGTTACAGCTTACATTGCAGCATCCCCAGGGTCATGTGATCAAAAATTTTGAGCCCTTGGCAACTGACTCACATAACAGTTGCAGTATCCAGAGGGGTCATGTCATCACGTTTTGCAACTTTCTGACAGGCAAAGTCAACAGGGAACCCATATTCACTTAACTGCAGTGATTCACTGTGGTAAGAAAGGTCATAAAAGGAGGAAAACTCACATAACTGGCTTGCTTAACAGCAGAAATTGTGGGCTCAATTGTGATTGTAAATCAAGGACTACCTGTATTCCGTCCATCTCTTCGTTCTGAGTCATTCTGAGTCAATATGACCTTGAATCCAGTCGTGTGGCATTCTACTCCTTTGTCTTAGAGAGAGAAAAAAGATATAAAATAAGAATAAAGTGTGCTTTGATGGGCTCCTAAAATTTTATTTCTACCTAGCTTGAGGCCAAAGGAACTATGCTAAAATTCCAATTCCTAATTGTCTGACAACAGCCACAACCTATCCAAATGTAGTAGAAAAAAGCACGTTCTACAAGGAAGAAACTATTGTAGAACCAAATACAGGTAGTCCTCAACAACCACAACTGAGCCCAACGTTTATGTTGTTAAATGAGGAACGTGTTAAGTGAGCTTTGTCAGAGTATATTCATGAGCTGGAATAGAGCTTAGTAACAAGATCAGCCAATGAGAGTGGAGTTGAGGGCTGAAACATAGAGACTTAAAGGGAGAATCAGCATGGTTTATCTCTGTTCTGTGCTCAGCTCTAAAGTGAAAGAGAAACTAACTAGCTTGCTTGCTTGATGAAAAGCAGAGCTCTGCTCTGAACCTCTGTAACATGTCTGCTTCTGTTTGAGTTTGCTTCATGTTGGAAAAATCTACAACTGGTATTGTAAAATTTACTTTACATGTGTATAAAGAAATTAAATGAAGCCTCAGCCATCTTTGTTTACTTTTCTGGTGCTGAATTTAACACTACAATACTCTGAACCAGCTTTGTCCCACTTGACAACTTTTCTTACCACATTTGTTAAGCAAATCACTGAAATTGTTAAATTAGTTAACATGCTTGTTACGTGAATCTGGCATCCCCCTTGACTTTGCTTGTCAGAAGTTTGCAAAAGGGGATCACATGACCCCAGGACACTGCAACCATCATAAGTATGAACCAGTTGGCAAGCATCCCAATGTAAATCACAGTCACAAGTGTGAAAAATGATCATGTCACTTTTTTCAGTGCTGTTGTAACTTCACATAATCACTAAATGAACTGTTGTAAGTTGAGGACTACCTGTATCAAATTGCATAGCCTGTCCAAAGTAAAAACGCAGCTCAAGCTTTTCCAAAGATCAGTAAGCTGATTTATTGATGAAACTCAGCCTAGTGATTTGATCAGTGCAAATTCACGAACATCTCTTCAAAAAGTCAGTCTTTTGAGCAAATAAATACCTTCGCAACTTACCTTTGCAAATGCTGAAAATATTCAATATGCACGTGTCCTTTCCTTAAAACAGCCACTGCATGATCTCTTAACCCAGAAAGCCAGAAAAGAAAGAAATTATTGTGATTTTGTTGTTCAGTTCTACAGGGTTAAACCTTTAAGTGCTTCGGAGGAAGAGCAAGATGTTGTGTATTATTACTTCAAAGCAGCCATTGGGTGGGGAAGGCAACTCTTTTAAAATGTTGCCAACACATGCTAAGTTCCCACACCTGCATCCCCAAAAGCACATTTTGGAGGGGAATCCAAGGCTCCATATAGCGCTATAAATCACAAACCAACTAACATGCAGCTTACTTAACCTTCATTCTTTGTGTCTATGGAGATTCTCAACTATCCAGCTCATGGCTGTTCTAAAATGTTTTCAAAAGGCAACTGATCTATTCGCCCACCTCTTCACCCTTGAAAATGTTTCAATTCTCATCCAAGAGGCTTCTTCAGTTCATCCAAGAACCGAAAAAGCTTCTTGGGTGAGAAATGAAATGTTTTCAAGGGAAAAAAAAATCCAGTCCAGTTGCCTTTTGAAAATGCAACTTTGGGACTTAGTTCTTCATGGTCATTCCCCCCAGAGTTTATAAATGACGGCTGAAATCCTCTTGATTGTTCTATTGTCTCCACATACACAGATACTGCAAATAAATCCAGTATCTAAGGAATAAATACTGCCTAAAAATCAAGACTTCCCCTGAAACTTGATGTCTATGGAGATTCTCAGTCAATCCAGGTCACGGTCTTGCCAAATATGCTTTTTCCAGAGGTAACTTGTTTTTTCTTTTGAAGACGTTTCGCTTCTCATCCAAGAAGCTTCTTTAGCTCTGAGCTTGTTTGTTTTCCGAGGATGCCTTTTCCATCTTTGCCATTTCATCCGCAGTCCTGGAGCGCCGCGCAAGATGTCCCAAGAAAGAGTTAACCGCTCCCGACTTGGAAGGCTGACTTTCGCCAAGCGAAAAACGAGCCTAGTTTGTCCCCTCCGTCGTACCGTCGTAACGTCTTCCTGTGACGCGTGAAAGGGCGTGGCCACATCATGGCGCTGTGCATGTGCGGCTGCTCGGAGCTGAACTGAGGCGCTTCCAGGTAAGCGGTTTGCTTAATGGAGGGTTGTGGTCGCTGTCAAAGCGTCGCCGGTCGGGGAGGAGAGCGAGATTTCGTCTTCCGTGGGCGGAAGAATAGCTTAGCCCGGTATTGTGTTGTGTTTCCGTCCGGTCCACCGGTGGATGAGATGCGCTGGTTTCTTGTCGTTTGGGGGAGGGAATCCCTTTCTGGGATCTCACCGATCGGTTGCGAAGCGTGATTCCGTATTTCAAGCAGGTGGAGAAAATCTACCTTAGGAGGTCGCCAGGCATCCCAATCGACTTGATGACACCTGATCAGATATATCAGACAATCGAAATGGATGAAATCGGTGTTGGAGCGAAGGCAGTTAATTTTTTTTTTCTAAAATAACACTCTAACTGCGACAGGTGGGTCTCAGCACTTTAAACCGGTGTTTGTTACCCTTAGCAACAAGGATTTCAACTCTCAAATTTCCCGATTAGCATGCAATCACTATTGCAGCCATAAGACAGAAAGATTAGAGTAGCTGCAACATAACAAGAGCACTTAGACTTATATACTGCTTCCCAGGGCTTTACAGCCTTCTCTAAGCGATTTACAGAGTCTGCCTATTGCCCCCAACAATCTGGGTCCTCATTTTACTCACCTGGTAAAGGTTGGAAGGCTGAGTCAACTTTTGAGCCTGTTAGAGAAGCTTCTGTTTATTTATCTTTGGTGATGCATGTGATCACTGCTAAGAAATTTCCATTTCCTTTCAGGAAAAAATGCTGAAAGATCCAATACCTAGCAATATTGAGGTAAGGTTTTATTAGAAGATACTATCTGCAGTATTGTATTTTGTTTCCATATGAGTGTCATTTAGCTATTTCGAAAGAAATATTTGATTCTTGTCCTGAACAACAATTCAGCAGTATCGTTTATTTTCTTACTTGCAGCTGCTGTTTTTATTTTTATTTTTAAATTTCTACGGCACCTGACTGTAGCTAATACCTGTTGGCAAGTACAGTTGCTCATTTAGCTAGGATTATAAATACTGAATCCCCTAGCTTTTGAATTACAACAAAATTGCGTTCATATTGTGACATCATTACATAAATACAATGATTAGATACTTGTCTCAGGATTTCTAACACATGACATTTTGTGTGATGTCATTCTTACCTATGCAGTTACCCTTGCTATTGAACAAGTTTGTAGAATGCACCTGTGTATGGTTTAGGTTAATCTTGGGTAATAGGGTTTCTCCTGAATAAAAGTTACTTAGACCTCCTCAGCTGGTAGATTAATTTGGATTATAGTCAACTTCTAAGAAGCGAGAAATGCTAGTTTTTAATCGCCAATTTTCTTTTTCTTCTTTTTTTAAAAGAACACCTGGATTCCTAAAGGGGTATGGAGTTTTGCTGAGAGTTGCGAACATTTTGTAATAAGAGTCTTGTTTAGAGGTGGTTCCTGCCATCTGACCATCTATTTTATTTATTTGTTAAATTTATTTACTGCCCATCTCACTGTGGGGTTACTCTTGGTAACTATATCTATAATTCAGCAGAGTAATTATTGTTTAACTTCCCTGTCAGGTGGCTTCTGAAATTGTGGCTGATAGAATTATTGCCTTTTTACACACCATGAGTTCAGATTGTGATTGAGATAAGAACCTTGGGCTTGCTGCAGTTTGGATGATAATAACTTTGTTAAATGTAAGTGTAGGCAGTGGCAATTTCTAATTATTTTGGCCTGTCTGAATGTTGTAGAGAGCATGACAGTGATGGCAATGTCAAGTATTTGGGACTTCAAGACGGAGTGCTTTTCTGTAATATTGATATCAGATGCATTAAGAATATTTTGCTTTTTCCCCCCCCAAAATCGATCAGCTTGAAAATCACACTTCCAAATTCTTGTGGTATAACCCAATTAGTGGGCTTCTTAGATGTCTCTGATGGATCACCATGTGTAATGGGCAGAAATAATGCCCTTAAGGAACAGGAAGAAGAGCTGCTTATACCAAGACAGTGGGTCAGATAAAAGAAACCTGAGTCTGGGACAGAACTGTAACCTGAGAAAGCATCTGAGGCAAGCCCCTCTCTAGTTCTCATGTAGATAAAGGGAGGGAGAGGGAAAATACATTGTGATCTTAGAATAAAAGTACAGATAGCCCTCAACTTACAAATATTCATTTAATGACCGTTCAGAGATACAACAGCACTGAAAAACGTGACGGATGACCGTTTTTACACTGATAACCACTGCAGCATCCCCATGGTCATGTGATCAAAATTTGTACGCTTGGCAACTGGTTCATATTTATGACGGTTACAGAGTTCCTGCGTCATGTGACCACCTTTTGTGAGCTTCCGGCAAGCAGAGTCAATGGGGAAGCCAGATTCACTTAACTGTGTTACTCACTTAATTGCATTGCTGTGATTCACTTAACAACTGTGACAGAAAAAAAGATTGTAAGGAGGGGCAAAACTCACTTAACTATCTTGCTCAGCAAGAGAAATTTTCAGTTGTGATCGTAAGTCGAGAACTGCCCTTAGTATTGTCCTGCATGACTTTGGTTTTGTGGTCTGGCCAATCTGATATCATGGAAGAGAGTATCCTAACTAGGCCTGACCCAGCAGGGCTGGCTATCAATCTTGTCAGCAGACTAAGAAAGCCCTGCCTGAGGAAATGTGGCTCGCCCACCATTTTTTGTGTGCGTACGGGGCAAAAGCCCTCGCTGAATATTTATAAAACTATTTCTGATAGCTATATAATACAAGCAAACAGTGCTTTGTTTCTAGCTATTCCGGAAAAATAACATGTTATAAATCTTCATATTCTTAAAATGTGGTGCCGAGTTTCAGTATTGGTGCTTTTTCTATTATTTTGAGATTAGTTTGGCTTTCCCTAAGTGATCTTGTTAACTGAAGCCGTGGTTTCATTTATTCTTATTTTAAAGCTCAACTTTCTGACATGAATGAGCAGGGGATTTGCTGGAGGGAGGGGACATGGCAGGTCACCAGGTACTATCTGTAATTTGCATTATGGCTTGGTTGATCCGAATTGCATAATTTATACCATTTGGGCAATGATATCATGATGCACGGGTGATGTTATTGCAGCTTTTGCTGGAGACCTACAAGCAGGTTGCCACTCTTTGAAATGATCTGTTATCCTTGCAGAGTTTGTGGGCGGGGTGTGTGAATAATTGTGCACTACCGCTACAGGGATAAGGATCCTTGCTTTATGCTTTTCCTATATTTCTATCTCCCAGAGAAAATGATTGCGGCTGATGATCTTTGCCTTGAAGACATTGAAGATATTGTGTCGGCACAAGATCCAAAGCCCTTTGATCGTCAGTTCAGTAGAAAAAACATTATTCCTAAAGTGCGAAAACGCCAGTCGCAGAAGAATGTGGAAGTGGATGATCCTCCCCCTAGAGATAGGTACATATTTACCTTTCTTATACCCTGTTTCTCCAACAATATGGCCTCCCCCAATAGGAAGTCCCAGCATGTTTTATAGGCATGAAATGAAATTAAGCCCCTCCCCCCAAATTAAGGCCTATATTAAAACATGGGAAATAGGGGGGGAATGGTGGGGGGGCTTGCTGCTAGGAAGTACTTTTGTTGCACACCCGGATATGGTGCTGCCTGCATTGACCCCGATATGAAGTGTCCCACCAATGCCGAGGTCAACATCCAAACCATTGCTGCTCCCCCCGCCCGAAGATGCAAAGGGGGGGAATTAAGTCACCCCCGAAAAGACAGCCTAGCCATTTTTCCGGGGCTCAAAAAAAAATAAGACCCGGCCTTATTATAGGAGAAACATGGTAATTTTCTTATAATTTATAATTATAAGTAAGATTTTGCCATATAAAGTACGGTACCAATAAAGGAGAATATCTGTAGCTCAGGGTTGAAATGAGGGAGTCCTTGGTGTTCTCTGAGCTTGTTTGTTTCTTGCGGTTCATTACCCAAACTAGGTAACATGATCAGTGCTAGTAATGTCACTAGCGCTGATGGCGTTACCTAGTTAGGGTAATGAGATGTTTGCAAGAAAGCAACCAAGCTCAGAGAGCACCAAGGACCCTTCAAAGTACATTACCTTTAATTTGTATTAGATTGATTTGTGTTTAGCATAGATAATTCTGCTTTTTCAGGTGATGGAAGACGTGGGAATAAGGAATCTGAAATACTGAACCTTAGATAGAAACTCATAAAGCAACTATTGTACATAGTGATAGAGATTATTCTGTTGAGCGGGAGACTTAAAAGTAAAACCAAATGTTAAAAATTCTCTCCACCTACAAATCTTGTTATACTACCTTTTTTTCGGGGTAAGGAACCTTCCTGGAAAGGATGAGTGAAAAATGCCAGGAGCGTATACTAGGAGTGTATGCTCCCAGCAGAGTTACCCAAGGTGTGAAGATCAGCTAGCTTCTCAACTAAACCAAGCAGAAGCATGTACCTGTATCAGAAAGGTCCTGGGGGCAATTTAGTGACAATGACAAGAGGCATCACTTCGTACTGCAATGGTAAACCGTTCCTGTATTTTATCAAGAAAACTACATGGCCAGACAAGATATTGGCAATATCATGTCAGATGATGGGACCTTCAGGTCAGATGAGAGCCCCCATGCTACTGGGAAAGAGCCGAGGACATTTCAGAGTACTCATAGTGTTTATGAAGAATAAATACTTCAGGACACCAAGTTGCTGATGACACCATTCATAAAAAGAAAGCTGCAAAGACATGCATTACATGCCAAGGTCAAAGAAATGAGACTTAACAAAGTTCTCAAACCATTGCACATTGTCTTTAATTTCATTTGCTATCAAAATAAGATTTAGGGTCATCAAGACCAGGGGCCTCC